AATTGTGTTCATTGTTCTGATTTTCTTCGGATTGCTTTTTTATGGTTTTTATTTTGATTGTCTTTGTGGGTATGTATAACTAAAGCTGTAAAGATATAAGAAAACATTTTATGGATTGAGTAAATTTTGGTAGCTTCATTGCAAGTGGGAAATTGTGTATGTTGATATCTCTATTTGGCCCAAAATCCCATTATCAAAGATGCAGACTAAAAATTTTGGAACTATTAATGGATCGGATTGTGAAAGAAAGATAGGAGACAATCTTGTGATGAAAGTTGTAACTTGTTGACAATCTTGACCATCTGGTGGCAATTCTTAACTGACCAATACCCATTTTTTGTTATGAACTTTGTTTTCTTTGTATTGACTATTAAGTCCCCCATGTTTTCAGGTGACAGCCCCAATATCAAGGGTTCTGCCCTATTCAGTGGTTTAAATTGTGTAGTCTAATATAGTTTGGACTGCACAACTCTTTTGGTAATTTGTTGTAATGACTGGATTAGTTGAACGGTATTTCCTTTTTGATTTAATGAAATTACTTAAACAGAATAGAGAAAACAACTGACGTTATAGAATTCCTTGGGGCTCAATTATGGAGGATAAAATACCCATAAATACACGTGGGAGTGACTAATTTCTTGAAGAACATTAAAAGAAGACATTGAGTCCTTTTCCATTCTTTGTTTGTTTGTTTTTTGTTTTTTGTTTTTTTATTGTAGTAGTTGTTGTTGTTGTTGTTTTTTGTCTTTTTTTCTTTTTTTTATTTGTTAGGTTGGAAACTGCTTAGAAGTTTCATCACACCAGGTGGTGCTTCAAGCACTTATATCTCCTCTATCTTTATATAAATCTTGACAGAGCTTTGCAGCTGAGACAATCAAAGAGCTCTCAGAAACAAAGTAGAAGAAGATGGTGATGACAATGGGAGAAATGTATAGTTACCTTGGCTCAGGCATTGCAACTTTGATGTTCATCAATGCCATCATTCAGCAATACTTTCCTCTTCACCTCCGAGGCTATATTGAAAGATATAGCCAAAAGTTTGTGAGTATTTTGTTTCCTTATGTTCAGATTTCTTTCGATGAATTCACAGGTGATAGCATGAGCCGAAGTGAAGCCTTCTCTGCAATTCGGAACTATCTCAGTGACAAGTCGTCTACACATGCTAAGCGGCTTAAGGCTGATGTTGTCAAAGATAGCCGGTCTCTAATCCTCAGCATGGATTACAATGAGGAGGTCACCGATGAGTTTGAAGGTGTCAAGGTCTGGTGGACTTCAACGAAAAATGTTCCAGAGAAGCAGTATTCATTTTCATGGTATCCTGCTTCAGATGAGAAGAGGTATTACAAGCTTATATTCCATAGGCGTGACCGCAAACTTATCACTGACTCTTATATCAGTCATGTGATGAAAGAAGGAGATGCTATTGCAGTAAAGAATCGGCAGAGGAAGCTTTACACTAACAATCCTGGTGAGAGTTGGTCTGGGCACAAGAGGACCAGATGGACTCATGTAGTTTTTAAACATCCAGCAACTTTTGATACTTTGGCCATGGAGACAAAAAAGAAGGAAGAAATCATAAAGGATCTCATCAAGTTCAGCAAGGGGAAGCAGTACTATTCAAGGATTGGGAAGGCGTGGAAGCGTGGCTATCTCCTTTATGGTCCTCCAGGAACTGGGAAATCCTCCATGATTGCTGCCATAGCAAATTTCTTGAATTATGATGTCTATGATCTTGAGCTTACAACAGTCAAGGACAACACAGACTTGAGGAGGCTTTTGATTGAGACATCAAGTAAGTCAGTCATTGTGATTGAGGACATTGATTGCTCTCTTGATCTTACAGGCCAAAGAGAGAAGAAGAAGAAGAAGGAGAAAGATGAGGATGAAGAAGGGAAGGATCCGGTTAGCAAGAAGGCAAAGGAAGCAAAGGAAGAGGAGAAAAAGGAGAGTAAGGTCACTTTATCTGGGCTTTTGAATTGTGTAGATGGACTTTGGTCAGCTTGTGGGGAAGAAAAAATCATTGTGTTCACTACTAATTATGTTGAGAAGCTTGATCCTGCTCTAATAAGGAGGGGAAGAATGGACAAACATATAGAAATGTCCTATTGTTGCTTTGAAGCATTCAAGGTGCTAGCCAAGAACTATTTGGATATCGATTCTCATCCACAGTATGAGGAGATTCACAGACTGTTGGAGGAAACCAGCATGACTCCTGCTGATGTTGCCGAAAGTTTGATGCCTAAGTCGGATGAGGATGATGAAGATACTTGTTTGAAGGCTTTGGTTGAAGCTCTTGAGGCAGCAAAGGAGGAAGCAAGAAAAAAGGCAGAAGAAGAAGCACGTCTGAAGTCAGAGGAAGAAGTGAAAGAGAAGGAAGAAGTGCAATTGAAGGCAGAGAAAGAAGAGACAGAGAAGGAAAAAGCAAGATTGAAGGCAGAGAGAGAGAAAGAAGAATCCCCTAAAGAAAATGGTAAACTAGAAGAAACTCCAGCCAAGGAAGTGAAAGATGATGGTCTCTCTCATTAAGCAAGTTCTGTCGAAGCATTAGAATTAACCAAGTTATTTTACTACCATAAAAATCTATGCGGCTATCTTTGTTGTATTTATTTTCCCTAGTGAAATAGCAGTCATTAAGCTTAAGTGTAAGATATGCTATTGAATCCTCTAGTGGACTGCATTACTGCAGACTTGTGGAGTTGTTTGAGTTTATAAGTATCAAACATTCGGTTTTAAGATCGGTTTCATTTCATATGGCCATTTTAGAAGGTAAAAGCTGAATTTGTGAAGGACTTTGATTCTTCTACCAACTTTTAGGCACTATTCTGGCAAAAGTTCTCGAGGACATAAAGGTTACCTACCTCAAGGACCAATCAAAGTACACTATTTAGGTGTGTGTTTTGGATTGTGTGCAAGAAAGCAAAGTTGTTTTTGAATGATTTACATTAAAAAATTGATAATGATTCAACCGACCATGTGGCATCCACCTGAACTGTGCATGCACAAAAACATTATAAAACAATTTAGTTAAAATCATTCCAAATGCACTTGCACTTTGGTGCAAATTTCATATTCTTATTGAGGTCGTAATCAGAACCCAACAAAACTTTCTGAAAGGTTAATGGGCGGTTGCATTCTGGACGGAAATTCATATTTATTCTTTCCTTTTCCTTCCTGGTTCAAGGTTCATGGATCATTATATCATCATTTTAATACCATTTTCTTTGATACAAACAACTTCACTGAACTGGTAGATGAGAATACCATAACGATTTTTTTCCCCTTAGCCATCATGTTCAAAGTTGTTTGTATCTTGCTTTAAAAATTTGATAAAAAGCAAACTAACAAAATATCTTGCTTGATGGAAAGCTGCATGCTGCATGCTGCATCTGGTTGGAAAAGTTGGACGTATGTTCTTTCTTCATTCCTTTTTAATTTCCCCATGGCCTATGACGTCCTCGTATTAACGTCATGAGCTCTCAATACAAAAAACCACTATAAACTCATAAAACAAAATTCAAATTAAGGTAATATCATCACAGATTCACAATTTATATTCTTCTTCTGGTCTTAATCAACCGATTATTGTAGGATTATCAGTAAATTTGCTGAGTCGCCAGATACATTAACATGATGCCTCTATATCAATACAAAATTTGCACGAGCCACTTTCTCTATGCTTTTTAAGCATTCTTTTGTTCGGAATGGAAGCAGAATTGTATTTTGCTTCTTTGATAGTGCAGCAAAGGGCCAAACACATATCGTTCAGTCAACTCAAAACAAAAGTTTCTTGGAACCTTGCATTAAAAAATTGCGAAGGCAACCTAACAAATCCTCCTAAAGTCTATATGGCCAGCTGCATCCTGGCTGGAAAGTAATATATGTTCTTTCTTTGTTACTTCCTGGTTCAAGGTCCTTGGATCATCAATACATCATCATATTAAGGTCATGGTCCTCTAAACTTAATTAGTTCCTTTCATCCCTGTTTTTTATTGTTTGTTTTATCAGACTGGAAACTAGATAGAAATTCAGCATTCATGGTGGACAAATTTGACACGGCGGTCAAAAAGATAAGAAGAAATTGTGTATGATGCCTTTCCTTTCATATCAGGAAAAAAATATATTGCCTAAGACTGATTGACAGATCTGTCATCTCTTTTGTATATTGTCTGATCAATGATAATGCATGCATGATTAAAGGATATTGTGCAGTTAGTTCAGGTAACTTGGCAAGAAATTTCCCTTGAAATGTGGAGACAAAATAACTAAGTTTTCCAGCAAGAAGATGAAGGCCAAAAAGATCTTAGAATAAAACATGGAGTCTAAATTCTGATACCACTAGTTAACCATACAAACGGATACTAAATCAGTGATATCTGTCTCTACAAGTTCTGCTCTTCTGTTTAAACTTTGTTGTTCAATAATTTTTTTTGTTCTTGGATTCTGCTTCCTATAAAAATTATAAATCAGGTTCATTTCCTACTTCATTCATCACCCACAATTTGCTCTCCTTAATGAAATTGAAACAGTGGGAGTAATGAAATTCCTGGGAGGGGTCATAGGTGGAGGGCCCAGGGCTGAAAAAATTATTAAAAAAAGGGGCAAGTAAAGGCTAAAAGCCAAAAATTACCCACCAGGAATCTTCCCTAAATCCTCCTACCAGCATATATGAATTACAATAAACAAAGACCTTCAGTCCTCCTTCCATACTGTTTTTTGTAATTTATTTTATTAATTTGTGCATATACAGTAACAGCAATAACTTAACAAGCAAGTTACAAGACCCTGTCTTCCTTGTATATATAACGGTCCACAAAGTTCAGAAAGACACACCATCTAGCAATTTGCGTAACAAAATTCTGAGTTCCAAAAAAGGGTTGAGAAGATGATGGCAATGGGTGAAATGTGGAGCTATCTTGGCTCAACCACTGCAAGTTTGATGTTCATCTATGCCATCATTCAACAATACTGTCCTCTTCACTTCAAAAGCCACATTGAAACATATGTTCAGAAACTTGTAAGTTTTCTATATCCTTACATTCAAATTACCTTTGATGAATTCTCAGGTGAGCGGATGAAGCGTAGTGAAGCCTTCTCTGCAATAAGAATCTATCTCAAAGACAAGTCATCTGCCTCTGCTAGGAGGCTAAAGGCTGATGTTGTCAAAGATAGTCAGTCTGTAGTCCTTAGCATGGATTACCATGAGCAGGTCACTGATGAGTTTCAAGGGGTGAAGGTTTGGTGGACTTCGAGCAAAACTAGTCCTTCCAAGCAAATTTCACTTTCAATCTATCCTTCTTCGGATGAGAGGAGGCATTACCAGCTCAAATTCCATAAACGTCACCGGAAACTCATCACTGAATCTTATATCAGTCATGTGTTGGAAGAAGGGAAGACAATTGCAGCAAGGAATCGGCAGCGGAAGCTCTACACCAACAATCCTAGTGATAACTGGCACGGATACAAAAGGCGCAAATGGAGTGAAGTAGTTTTTGAGCATCCCGCAACTTTTGACACTTTGGCAATGGAGACAAAGAAGAAAGAACAAATCAAGAAGGACCTGATCACTTTTAGCAAGGGGAAGGAGTACTACGTTAAGATTGGGAAGGCTTGGAAGCGTGGTTATCTCCTTTATGGTCCTCCAGGAACAGGGAAATCTTCCATGATTGCTGCCATGGCAAATCTCTTGAATTATGATGTCTATGATCTTGAACTTACAACAGTAAAGGATAACACAGAGTTGAAGAGGCTTTTGATTGACACATCAAATAAGTCAATCATAGTGATTGAGGACATTGATTGTTCTCTTGATCTTACTGGCCAAAGAGAGAAGAAGGAGGAGGAGAAAGATAAGAAAGAAGGAGAGACAGATACAGTTAAGAAGATAAAGGAAGAGGAGAAAAAAGAGAGTAAGGTTACTTTATCGGGGCTTTTAAATTCTATAGATGGGCTATGGTCAGCTTGTGGGGAAGAAAGGATTATTGTGTTTACTACTAATTATAAGGAGAAGCTTGATCCTGCTCTAATAAGGAGGGGAAGAATGGACCTGCACATAGAGATGTCCTATTGTTGCTTTGAAGCGTTCAAGGTGCTAGCAAAGAATTATCTTGATAT